GTACAGGGCAAAAGTTGTATTTCATTTGTATTATAAAAGATTTAATGGATCCTCTGGATTGGAACTGGGAATAAGATATACTTCAGACTGTAAAGATTTCAAAAGTTGATTGTGGAGCCTTTTTTGTTGCATTGTTTGCTGTAGCCACAGCGTGGTGACCAGTTCATGCCACCAGAATTCAGACTACAGACATATCACGTATAGAGAGTGAAAGTTTGCTTAAGTGGTTCTGCACGCTTCCAGTAAGGCAAAATGCAAAGTACAGTATCATAGCATTTGACCAAAATTGTATTCAAATTGCAAATATTTTAGATTGTGCCAATTTGAGAAAATAGTATAAAGAAAATGTTGGTACTCAGAGCAGGGGTTATAGTATTGCCAATTTGTCTGGTTTATTATAATGCCAGACTTATCTGTATTAAGGAACAGATAAAATATATGTTTGTCATATTGGCTGTTTCCATGACATTTTGAATTTAATGGGAATAGTAATCTAAGTGCAAATGGAAAGCACCAACTTGAGAAAGACTGGATTCAGTTTAGCTCAAAGTTATCAGAATATCACTAAGAGACTATCTGTGGTGGAACCCAGAATTTTATTCAGATCGAAATTCAAGCTCAGGTGGAGATAAGAAAAAAGGCCTACTTACAAATAAAATAATGATTACAATAACAATAATAATAGATAAGCATTTGTAACATCACCACAGGCATAACAATTGTCAATAAGAAAGGCAAAATGTCTGGATAGTAGATATGGTCAAACCTAAAGACAGCAGAATATAAAAGAAAGAACTGGGGGAAAAATCACAATATAAAGACCTGCAAGTAAAAATAAAACAACTATGGAAAAAGAATGCAAAGATAAGTATGAACAGTGATGGCACCTTGAATGTAATCCCAAAACAACTTGAACATTATTTAAATATCATCGGCATTGACAAAATCACCATCAATCAATTGCAAAATGTATATTTACTTGGAATAGCTTATGTCCTGCAGTGATACTTTTAACATCATCAAACAATAATGTCTGCCTACCCCAGATCCTTGGGAAGGATTCAGTAAGTGGATGAAAATGCCAAATCCAGTCTAAACATTTGGCTCACCTGTGATTAACTGTACTAACAGCAATAGCACTTAAACTTATATACCACTTCACAGATCTTTACAGCCCTCTCTAAGTGGTTTATAGAGTTAGCATGTTGCTCCCAACAGTCTGGGTCCTCATTTATCAAGGTGTGCTACTAAATGATAACAAATCAATCCATAAAAACAATTTTGATTCCAATAAACAAATATTAACATAAAGCAACCAATAACACAATAAATTTAAAAAACATCCTGGGGATAGAATTGAATGAATATACCCCTAGTGTAAACAGTTACTACCTAGAACATCAGATAAATAAAAGGGGTGTGGAACAACCAGATATTTCATTAACACAAAAATGAAATAAAATGTATTTAAGTCCCTTTTAAAGGCAATCACATTTCTACAGAGAAGGATGTGGTAGAGTGTAGTCTGGAGACACAGAAGGGAGGGGCTATTTCCTAGAAGGCAGAACTTGGAATATCTGGTAGGCAGGAAGAAGGCAAGGACAGACCCTCCCTTGCAATTCACAGAGTATATCTATAGTTATGCAGCTAATTGCTTTAGTCTGGCAAGATTTTGTCTGTAAATGAACAACAATACAGAAGACTCCTGCGAGTCCCCTGGACTGCAAGGCGATCAAACCGGTCAGTCCTAGAGGAGATCAACCCTGCTCTTTAGAAGGCCAGATCCTGATGTTGAAACTCAAGTACTTTGGCCACCTAATGAGAAGGAAGGACTCACTGGAGAAGAGCCTAATGCTGGGAAAGATTGAGGGCAATAGAAGAAGGGGATGACAGAGGTGGCTGGATGGAGTCACTGAAGCAGTAGGCATGAACTTAAATGAACTCCAGAAGATGGTAGAGGACAGGAAGGCCTGGAGCAATGTTGTCCATGGGGTCGTGATGGGTCGGACACGATGTCGCAACTAACAACAACAACAACAGAAACTATTCAACAGTAACGCTATGTGTTGTACTTGGTTCTTTAGGCCTGACATTAAGGTGCTGGTTTCCAGAATGGTAGGTCCAAATTCTAAAAGCTAAAATCCTGGATACAGCAACCTGGAGTGAGAAACCAAAACAAAGCTCTATTCAGATGAACATAAGGAACAGATAGGATTGTAGGAAGAAACAAGGGTAGAGGTAGAGACTTGTGACAGGAGGACTCTGTAAACATAAGCACTAGTAGTTTAAAGAGGATATCGGGAAGTTGGCAGTTGAAAATAATAAAAGAGATCCATTGAAACTTCTAAAAAAATCTGTTGGCTTGTTTGTTTATGGTATGTATAATCTGCCCCTTTCTTGGTGAATTCTGGATAACATGCAACTATAAAAAACAGTATAAATTCAACAGGGAAATCTTCAAATCAATAGTTATGATGGGCATCATCCTTCAATCAACTGGGGAATGTGTAAGATTGGGAGTTTTTGTTCTCCTTTACTCCAGCCTACAGCGTTTTCTATTTTTCCTATAATTCTTTTGCAATTGCTCTAGTTTTACCAGCCTCCTCTTTGGTTCTGAGTGTTGCCTCTTAAGATCATCACATTGTTTTGATCAGATAACAGGTCACTTGCAACTGAGTTTGTATTTTGATGTCAGTCCTGTTCCCCAAATGAGAATTTTTGTAATTAGACTACGCCTTTCCATCACATTTATCTGTGAAAAGGGGATTCATAACAAGGTAAAGGACTGGGGTGTGATTTTCCTTTTTTTAATAAGCACGAAGACACCATCACACTTGGGAGTAGCAGCCATAAGAAAAGAGCTTATTTGAAATGCAGTCGAGTTATTAACACAGCAAGAATGGAAGCTGATTGATATAACTCCAAATGCTTGCAATTATCTTCCCTGATATCTACTTACTAACAAATTTTCATAATTATGTTACCAGCATTTGCAGAATGTATTGATCAGCCATTAAGCTCTCTGAACGGGTTCACAGGATAGTGTCTAGTTTAGGACAAGAAGCAAGCCCATTTCAATGACTTGCAAAGCTGGCTTGTTTCAGTACACATTTTAGGATTCAGATGTATTAAATATAATTGAAAATAGAAGAGAAAGATGGATTATCTCCTCCTGTAGCCTTGCAGGAGCAGGAGGGGCAAGAGAGCATATGCTCCAAGGCTTTTTCATAAAATATAAAGTAACATTTGTCATTGCACACAGATGCAGTTAAGAGTCTCTTTCCAGTAAAAACCCTGTCTCTGGTATAGCTAGGACTTTTAAGATGGACCATATGCCAACCAGCAGCATGTGGTCAGACATCTGGATAATTATCCCAACTTGCAGAATCTCAAGCAATAATTGGTTGATGCAACTTCTTTCCTTCTGTGCATTTTTCCTCATGGAAATATTATTTCCTAACTCACAGAGCAACTTCCTCTTTTCAGCATCTCAAAACCAAATGTGCAAGTGTTTATCTCCTCCAGGTAGTTTTTTTTTCTTTCTTTCAGATTTCATTTCCCTCCAACCACTTGTTTTCCCCTTGTTATTCCATAGATCAAATCTGTGATGCCTCAATCTGCACAAAGCACATGCTGTCAATTAACTTGGTGTGCATACCATGCATATGACACCTCCTTAGAGAATCTCACAAAAATGAAAATTCATCTAGACATTTAAATTAAAGCCTCCTTTGAAGGAGTGAGAGAAAAAAGATGGTCTACTTCTGTAAGAGATCAAGAAGGAGAGGCTCAGATCAAAAGAGACCTGTTGCTTATGAGCTGAAAATGTGCAGATTATAATAGCAGATTGCATGAGAAAGATTGGAAACAAGGATTTGTGAAAATTGGGACACTGTACAATATGTACTGGGCATCCAAACCAGGAGTTGTTTTTGCTTTAATTATTATTGTTAAATTTATTGTTACTCGCTCCAAAAGACTGGCTGGTTGTTATGTGCTTGCCTGTTTTGACACAATATAAAATTTAATTGTTTATGGCGCAGCTATTAAGTACATCAAGAATTCAATCCTATGCAATTTACCTTGTCCATAAGAGAGATTTTCTTCTGAAAAGACAGATACAGGATTGCTCGCTAAAATAAAAACCAATTCTGCATATGTTCTAATCTAAAATGAATATGTGTGGAGATCTTACCAGCTGGTTTTAAAAAAGTGAAAAGCAAGTTGGCTCTCTTCTTTCATGAAAAGTGTAGGGATAAAACTACATTTCTTTTTACGGGGACAAATAAATTATGCTTGAGGATTTTCTATTTATATTGTTCTTAACTAGATAGGTGTTCCTAGATGGCAGAATCACATTGAAGCACAATATGACAGGGCACTCACTGGTTTCCACATCAACTAGATGTGAGGTGGCTGTGAAAAGACCAATTCCATCTTGCATTATTAGGAAAGGAATTAAAAGATCTTGTGCAGATGTTGTTCTGTTCAAGAAAAAATTTAAGTATGTCAGTCAAATGGGCCCTGGACCATGGTACAAGTCTGGAAGTTTAATGTAGACAACGGTACAAATCCAATTAAAAAAGACAGGAAATAAAAGAAAAACTTGTTCTTTAAGACTCCTGAATGTTCATATATTGGAAGTGAGGGAATATTATGAAGAGTTTATGGGCCAGATACACCATCAATTCAAAAAGTTTACTGTAAAATCAAAACATTTCAAACATTATATAATAAAATTGAAAGCCAGTTTGGCATAGCGGTTAAAGGCACAGAGCTAGACACATGGAGGCTATGAGTTCTAGACTTGCTTTTGGACAAAGCCAACAAAATGAGGTATGTTTACATTAACAGAGTTCTTTCTGTTTTCTTAATAAGTCTCCCAAAATATTATCATAAATCACTTGTTGAAATCAGGGGATAATTCAAATATTTCAGAAATCTTGATTCTTTTGGCTGAATAAATCTCCAGGAAAGCCTTCTTCAATTGATTTCTTTGGATGTTTTCTTATTTTGCAGGGATATACAAGGGACACTGTTTTCGAATCAACCATTTCCCTGAAGACAACGACTATGATCACGATAGCTCTGAATATCTTCTCCGTAAGTGAAAAACCCAAAGCCTATCTAAATGGGCATTGCTGGTTAGAAAAGGATTTTTGTGTGATTTGTTTATTTTTAGAGAAACAACGCTTGAATTTTCATATATGAATGTGATCATTGTATTAACACCCCCCAGAAATTTTGAATAAATCATTTTATTTTAATTAACAAGATTTCAATTTTACATTGTTGAAAACCCACTAGTATATCTGTACCAAAGGTGAATAGTTCATAAAATATAATCAGCTTTTGGGCAACCCCTGGAGTCTCTACCTATTTGACTGCCAAATTTCTATAGCTAGGTCTGTTTGTTCTAGTTTTGGCAGAATCTCCCATGAAATAGCATAAACGAAGCAACCCGCAATGCCTCAGTGTAACAGTCTGCAGTGAGAGAGGGAATAAATATGGCTATTTAGCATCACTGTGGTTTCTATTGGCTTCCTTTGTTTTGCAATGATTTTACACAGTTTTTATCAGGTTTCTGCTGCTGGATTCCACCGTACATTTTAAGTCCCTACATGTTATTCTTATATTCCAAGATCCTGAGAATAAAGTAACAGTCCTTGTTATTAAGTGCCTTCCCATTCATTAAAGAAGTGCCCCATTTGCCAAAGATCCAAATAATTGTTACCACAACCTTCTTCCAGCTTTCTTCCATCCAAGAAAGTTTGCAGAGCATCCAAAAGAGATTATTCCTAGGTGTTGTGTGGGAGGTAGATCCAACTTCAGTTTGCAGAGACAGGATATGAAGCTGAGAACTCATGGAAGCTGGTTTAAAGAGAGGATGTGTCTTACTGAACAGAGGTAGAAAGGGTAGTAAGTGAATTTGATCAACGTCATAACTACATATATCTAAATCATACAATATTTCTCATTGATCCAGGTCAGTTAGGGGCAAATCTGCAAAATCCCACCACTACTTATTCCCTAATGTCAGTTAGTTTCTTCTTAGATTTGCTGCTTGTACACATTTCTTTCCCGATTAATAATCATGTATTGCTTCTGCTACTTGTTTTTTTATTTATATTCTGATTTCCCTTCAAATAGATAAACACGGCATCACCTTCATGTTATCTCAGTGAACCTCCTTCTTTTCTCCCTGATTTAGCCACATTTGCATGCTTCCATTTACTGTTTTCCTCTCCTATCTTGCATCTAATTATTCTTCTCTGTGAGCTCTGTTTCTCAACCATGATCTGTACTGCTTCTCCTCAGTGTTTTCAGTCTCTGCTTAAAAGCTTCTCTGGCTATCCAACTGATTTTTTTCAGTTCAATTTTCTAAATACTGGCCAATCTGTCAGAACAATTAGAAAATCACCATTTTTTTCTGCCTAGGGAAGAAGAGAGATGATTTGCAGATGATAGCTAAACCTATTTTTTTAGCTTTCTGATATTGGAAGAGTTAACAACTACTTGAGAAGCTGCATGCATTAATGCTGCTGAAAACATTTATACTATAAAACTGTTAGAAGTCAAGTTTATATAGAACAGCGGTTCTCAACCTGTGGGTCGCGTCCCCATTTGGGGTCGAACGACCATTTCATGGGGGTCGCCAAACAACGTGATCCACCATTTTTTTGTCAGCCGGTGCAGGGGGCGGCGCCTGGCGGCAGCGCCGCACAAACACACCACCCAGGGGGCGCCACCGCGCATGCGCGCCACCTGCTTATGACCGGGGTCGCTGTATAAAAAGGTTGAGAACCACTGATATAGAGCTTCTGCTATATAAATGGTAGAAGTGTAGGAATTGTCTTTTAACATTCACTTGTAATAATAATAATATGAGCCAAGGTGGCGCAGCAGTTAGAGTGCAGTACTGCAGGCCACTTTAGCTGACTGTGTTCAGCAGGTCAGCGGTTCAAATCTCACCGGCTCAAGGTTGACTCAGCCTTCCATCCTTCCGAGGTAGGTAAAATGAGGACCTAGATTGTTGGGGGCAATGTAAATATATATATACATTGCTTACTGGTGTACACCGCTTAGAGAGTGCTTGCACTTAAAGCGGTATATAAGTCTCATCAATAAATAAATAAATAAATAAATAAATAAATAAACAAACCTCAATAGGTGCAGAAGTAGCTACTTACATGCTAACTGGATCTACTAGCTATAGGCAATATAACATTGATACTGTGGCAGCTGCATTGTCTGCCCAACTATTTTTTAGCACAGTGCAGGACGCTGGTAATAGTTTAGAAAGAGTTACAAGGCTTAGAGTGTTTTTCTCCAAACTGTAGAGGGCATTGGCAATGATCTTGAAGGAGAGAAGGAAGAGTTGCTACAAAGGCAACAATCATATAAGGTGGTCTTGAGCCCATTCCAAGAAACTAATTAGATAGATCTAGGCCAGGGGTCTTCAAACTTGCCCTTTTATGACTTGTGGACTTCAACTCCCAGAATTCCTCAGCCAGGCACAAATCATAAAAGGACCAAGTTTGAAGACCCCCATCTAGGCCCCTCCCTAATTTACACAAAGATAAATTGATGAAGGGGGGTAGCACTTTCAGACTTGCAAGATTCTGTTACTACAGATGTGACAATAAAAAGTATTCCTGGTCAATATGGCATTAGTTTCTTAGTTTGGTCTACCATATAGGGTTGACACAGAGAATCTACCCATCCCAAGGCATACTTGCAGAAGATGCTTGCTGAGTCTCTCCGTGTCTTCTCAGACTCAGCAGGAAGGGACTTGTTTTCAGCAGCACTAATGTTAGAACTATATTCTTATTTGTGATTCTTACAAAGCTATTAATTTTTTTTTTCAAAGATGCTCTGGGAGTGATATGCAGGTTCTGAGGTTTTGCTGGTTAAAGAAATACAGGAAACCAGAAAATATCTTTTTAAGTTTTACATTTTTATTCAGCTGAATAGAGATGGACTCCTCTAAATGAGGGGAGCAACAGATGACAAGAAATCCTTATATTTATTCTGTATAATTACATAAGCAACCCATCCAGCAAAGTTGACATACACATAAGATAAAGATTGCACTCAGTAAGTCTGGCACACTGTAGATTAGAAGGGAGAAAGTAGAAGTAGCTAAACATGTTCCCATTTGAGTGTTCCTTAAAGATATCGTATGTTCTTGGGTGGGTTAGGACATTGGGTGTTGTCCTTTCTGTCCTTTCCTGACCCTGCATCCAGGATTACAAGTGACCAAAGAGAGAGAAGCCATCTATATGTATTCACAATTAATACTGTCCCCTAATTCCTGGTCATCAGGAGGGTAAAATTAAGAAACAGGTTATCTGAGATATATGTTAGCACAATCAGAATAGATGTAATTTATTGAGTATTCTAATAGATTGTTTTAAATTAAAGATGCCATGTACCTAGGATATTATTTTTATATGTATTATTTATTGGGGGACGTCTTATTTTTTTGTTTTAGGATTTTTTTTACCATTAGCTCTGTAGTGAGAAAGACTGAGGTAGCATTAAAGCCATTTTAAATAAATAAAATAAAGCACCTAGACAAAAATGTAAATGTACAGGCAGTGACATGCAAATAATATGTTCTGTCGTAGTATTTAGAACAATAAGGTGCTAAGATACAAAGCACATGTTCATTAATCAGTTCAGCTGTAGGCCACTGATCTAAAGGAGTAACTATAGAAGGGTTGACAGCAACATGCCCTCCCGTTTTCTAATTATCCAGCAGTCTTCAAGATTCAGGTTTAAGGAAAATGAGGGAATTGTAATTCAAAGTGACAAAAAAAGAAAACCCAGAGCCTTCTCTGCAGACAAATTAAAATAAACTTCTATGCCAGCCAGGCGTAAAGGAAGCTTAAATAGCAGGTTTTGCTATGTACAACCAACTCTTTTGGTATGTCCTGTATCAAATTATTTAGCAGGAACCCTCACAGTAAAACATACCTGTTAGACAATGGTAGGATACTTGGTTCTCATTTTTACGCTAAGACAAATTAGAAGATTGTTTCCTCAGTAAAAAGAAGAAAACTGTAAATAATTAAATGTTCTAGTATTCTTCTTCATAAAAAGACCAGAGTGGATTAGTTTCTTCATTTTTTAAGATGCAAAGACTTGAATTCCAAGATTTAATTAGTCTTGCATGAGATTTAAAAAAAATGTATATTGTCCAGCTTAGTCTTTTAGTGAATAGTTTTTTTAAATTTTCTTAAAGTTTAAAAATACTTACATATTAACTGAGCAACCTTCCTCAGCTTAGTTACCATCCAGATGAGTTACGGCTACAAAAATCCCAAATCTCCCAGCTATCATAGCCAGTGAGTAGACATTAAGGAAATCCCATTTGTAGCAGCATATAAATTTAATAATGAAGTATCCAGAGATTGCCTAGTTGAAGTATGCTGTTCTAGAGGATGACATCAAGAAATTATGATAAATATGAGTATACTTAACCTTTGCTGAATGGTTGAAATAGACAATAATAATAAAACCTTTAGCTACCTTTTTTATGAGAAGTCTTTTTTTTCTCTAACTAAGCACTAAACAATGCATATTATTGGAACTTGGTCTTACATTGCCCATACACAGCTGGACCACAGTGCCAGTCACTCCACAATTATTTTGAAAAGGAGGCTTTAGTTCCTTATTCCTTCTTTCCTTTTGTCCATTATTCTTCTCTCATTCTTTTACTTAATGATGCTTCCACAAAATAAAAGAAAAATGCCAGGTATTAATATTATGATACACACAACAATGTGAGATCACAGCTGCCAGAAGCTAAAGCGCTCTGAGACTTTAGGAATCAGATAGATAAGCACTTCCCACATAATACCCCAGATTTGACAATTGTAGATAAGAAAGACAAACAAAGTTTGGATAATAGATATGGTAGTACCTGAAGACAGCAGAATAGAAATGAAAAAACTGGAGAAAAATCACAAAATATAAAGACCTGTAAATGGAAATAGAATGACTATGGCAAAATAAAGCAAACGTGGTAGCAATAGTGATAGGCACCTTGGGTGCAATCTCAAAACAATTAGAGCACTATTTGAACAACATTGGTATTG